GAATCGGAATTTTTATTTTATGATTGATCAGTATAAACATCAACACCTTCGAATTGGATCAGTTTCTCCTGAACAAATAAGTGCTTGGGCAAAAAAAATCCTACCCAATGGAGAAATAGTTGGGGAGGTAACAAAACCCTATACTCTTCATTATAAAACCAATAAGCCTGAAAAAGGTGGATTATTTTGTGAAAGAATTTTTGGGCCTATAAAAAGTGGAATTTGTGCTTGTGGAAATTATCGAGTAATCGGAGATAAAAAAGACCAACCAAAATTTTGTGAAAAATGCGGAGTAGAATTTGTTGATTCTCGGATACGTAGATATCAAATGGGGTATATCCAATTAGCATGTCCTGTAACCCATGTGTGGTATTTGAAACGTCTTCCTAGTTATATCGCGAGCCTTTTAGATAAACCTCTTAAAGAATTAGAGAATCTAGTATACCGCGATGTGTGATTTGATAAAAATTCTTATTGTACAGATTTCGAATGATAAACTGTCATTCCAGTCAATTAAATGGGAATGTCCTATATCTGGCATGTCTCTTGGGATGAGTAACATGAAGCTCAGAATTCATGGGTGTATTGAATACTCCCCAATCAAAAAGGGAATTGGTCTATGGTCAATTCAGTAACAAATAACTATTTACTGTATGTACCTTGTGAAAAAAAAAAAAATACTTTTTTGTGGAATTCATTATTCCATCTCTTTTTTTTTTTTTTAAAGAACTCAAATTATGTTCAAAGAATAAAATATATCATGATTGCAGAAGTTTATCTATCGCATATAGGCTTTAAGACATCGTGGCAGACCCGTCGAGGTGACGTCTTGACCTAAAAGATCGAACGGTATGATACATAGACAAAGAAATCTCTTATGAATTCGAGGATATTCCTTTTTTATTAAGAATTTCATTTTAGAGGATTCCTCGTTCGAAGGGAGGTAGACTACTCAAGAATTTTACATTTTATTTCTGTCTTAATTTCGAATTGGATAAAAAATTCAGAAAAAAAAGAAGAATGTATCAATGAAATGTTGCTTGGTCTTTATTGATAACTTGAGTAAAGAGTAAACCTTTTTGATTTTAGATTAGAGGTTTTCCAAAATTGGAAAGCGGAAACCCCTTTCTTTATCTTTAATTGTGTGCAAATACTTTAGCCGGATGAGAGGAAACCCTCATGTCCGATTTTAAAGGGGGCGATCCATCTTATTGGATCCTATCCAAATTTTTCTTTTGCTAGGCCCGTAGTTAAAAAACCAACTTTCTTACGATTACGAGGTTCATTCGAATATGAAATCCAATCCTGGAAAGACAGTATCCCACTCTTTTTTGATACTCAAGGTTTCGATACATTTCGAAATAGAGAAATTTCTAGTGGAGCGGGTGCTATACGACAACAATTAGTTGATCTGGATTTAAGAATTATTATGGATTCTTCGTTGCTAGAATGGAAAGAATTAGGAAAAGAGGGGTCCAATGACAAATGGAAAAATCAAAAAGTTCGAAGAAGAAAGAATTTTTTGGTTCGACGCATGGGATTAGCTAAGCATTTTCTCCTAACAAATATAGAACCAGAATGGATGGTTTTATGTCTCTTACCAGTTCTTCCTCCCGAATTGAGACCAATTATTCAAATAGATGGCGGTAAACTAATGAGTTCGGATATTAATAAACTCTATAAAATAGTTATCTTTCGGAACAATACTCTTATTGAGCTATTAAGAACAAGTGGATTTACACCAGCGGAATTAGTAATGTCTCAAGAAAAATTGGTACAAGAAGCCGTGAAACTATAAAAAGAGATTTACACCAATGGCTTTTGCTACTATAACCTTCCCAACCACGATTTTTTTTCATTTTTTCTAAGTATAAGTATTGAAACTCTAAATAATAACTTCTATTGATACTAGGTATGCCAAAAACCATAGTAAATAAAATAAACAAAGAAATGGTGGGTTCCATCGTTTCTATGATTACTTGTTAAACGGTGAGGTCCTCTCTATACACCGGAGCCCCTTCCTTCATTGAATCTTGATTCAATCAATGTTATTGTGAATTTGTACAGTTCACACTTCTGGGCTCTACCCATGAAATATCTAGTAATAGGTCTTTCACAATGAAATCTAGCCATACAGTAACGGTATTTAAGTATGAAGATTAGCTGGGTAGTTGACCCTCTTAGTCCGTTCTAAATTTAGGGCATAATTTGTTTTTCTTTCAAATAGGATTTTTCCCGCTTAATGGGAAACTACTTTATCCCCAAGGGGAATATACTTTGCATCTTAAATTGAAAATGAAGGTGATTTGGTTTGCACCAATTGAGAAACCATAAATTTGATACAAAATTTATACACAATAGAATTATATATATACAATTCTTATTAATAGAATTGATTTTTTAATTTGAGTATATGATCTAAACGAGTCGCACATACACCCTATTACATGTTCCTCGGCGTTGAGGGCATCCCCGAAGAGCGGGAGATTTTGTTACAGTCCGGATTGGCTGTCTTGCGTTTCTAATAAGTTGTTTTATAGTTGGCATGGTGAATCATATACATAATGAGCTGGTTTCGATCAATCCTAACCCAATAATTTCCATTTAGAATTTATTCGACTCTATGAAATCTGGTTGTTAAGACGATTAAAAAGAGAAAAGACAACATCTCATGCATGTATTTATTAGGAATAAATCTGTGTTTATTAGGGACAAAGGTTTAGGAATAAATCCACTATTCCCAGAAGAAAAAAAATAGTGGGGACAGAAATAGTTTGAAAGCAAATTCTGTGTTTAGTAGGAATAAAAAGGACAGAAATAGTCCAAACATCAATATTGATTCCAACTATCAATATTGACATATGCAAATTTTGCATTTAAAAAAAAGAATCTGCTCCGGAATCAAAAATTGCTTCCGTAGGCAAAGAATCTGATACGGAATCAATAATTCCGTAGGCTTGGGCTTCTTCGGGTGACATAAAATGATCCCTTTCCAGGTCTTTAGATATCTGCCATACCGGTTTGCGTGTTCTTTGCGAATAAATAGCTGTTATTGTTTCTCGAAGTATCACCATTTCATCTGCTTCCAGCATACATTCTCCTGATGGTCCCTCATAAGGGGCACTATGAGGTTGATGGATCATTACCCTGATAGTATAATATATTTTGGTTTTTTCTCTCAATCTTGACTTAAAAAAATAAGAAAGAAGGGATATTCAAAAGAACTTCAATTTAAATTGAAAGCCGTACAGGCAAGCATCTTTTGGATTTTTTATATAGCATACGGCTCTATACTTTTAATTTTTCATTTTTTTTACCTTTCATTGAAGAAATAAAAATATATATATATATATATACCGGGTCTATCAGACCCAGATCAGTAAAGAATCCAATAACCATCTTTCTTTTTTTTTTTTTAGAATATTTTAAAAAATTTAAAGACTATGATGATTCCGTTGCTCTCTTAATTTCGTGTAGTTTTTGATTCAGCAATCCCAAAGTTTCTTTTTTTTTTTTTTTCAAATGAAGTAAAAAAAAAATCGTGACACTAAAAGAGGCTCTAATTAATAGATAAGAGGAAATATAAAATTGTAAATACCCCTTCCCCTTTTTCCTACTACTCTTTCGATATAGAATCGAATGATTTAAAAAAAAATTATTTTTGCATATCGAACTCAGAGTGCCATGCTTTTTTTACTTCATATTGGCGTAGGCATAGTCTTCTTCTACAAATAAGAATCATTGGCGCCAAGCGTGAGGAAATGCTAGACGTTTGGTAATTCCGCCTCCTGCCAAAATAAGAGATGCCATTGAAGCGGCTAATCCCATGCATATTGTATGTACTTGTGCTTCTACAACTTGCATAGTATCAAAAATGGCCATTCCAGACATAACCTCTCCGCCGGGAGAATTTATAAACAGATACAAATCTTTGTTCTTGTTCTCTAAACTGAGATATATCATCATACCAGCAACTTGATTTGCTAGTTCACTCTCAATCTCGTCACCTAAAAAAAGAAGTCTGCTGTAAAAAAGTTGATGGTATAAGTCAACCCAAGTAGCTTCATCCTCGCCAGGAATTTGAAAGGCTACCTTTGGAACAACCTTTTAAGTACAATAATTGCACCAAGTGTTATTTTTACCCAAGCCTTTGCGACTTCGGGTCTTTTAACCAAACTGCATCAATCCGTAATATTAGTACCCGCTCTACAATCCCATTGGCTAATGATGCACGTAAGTATGATGATACTGGGCTATGCAGCTCTTTTATGTGGATCATTATTATCAGTGGCTATTTTAGTCATTACGTTTCAAGAAGTCATCCAAATTCTTTCTTTTACCAAGAATTTTGATTCTTTAAAAAAATCAGTTGATTTTGTTGAAATCAAATACATGAATAGGAATGAAAGAAACAATGTTTTACGAAAAACTTATTTTTCTTCTTCTAGAAATTATTATAGGTCTCAATTTATTCAACAATTGGATCGTTGGGGTTATCGTATTATTAGTATGGGTTTTCTCTTTTTAACGGTAGGTATTCTTTCAGGAGCAGTATGGGCTAACGAGGCATGGGGTTCCTATTGGAATTGGGATCCAAAGGAAACTTGGGCCTTTATTACTTGGACCATATTCGCGATTTATTTACATACTAGAAAAAATAAAAAATTAGAGGGTGTAAATTCTTCAATAGTGGCCTCGATAGGATTTCTTATAATTTGGATATGTTATTTGGGGATCAATCTATTAGGAATAGGACTACATAGTTATGGTTCATTTACATCTAATTGACTCAAAGAACCTGATAAAGAAAAATATGGAAAGCATATAAATATATATTTTCCATAAATCGTCGAGAACCCTTTCAATCAAGTAATGTAATGATTCAAGGGGTTCTCACAAACAACAAACATATTCGATTCTAATTTCAATTTTTTAAATGAATCTAACGGGAAAATATTTTTTTGTATCTTTTTGATTCATTTATTCACAAAAATCATCCATCAAAAATGAGATAGAATAGCTTCAACCTTGTCAACCGAAAATGAGAAAATGAAATCTGGATAAATACCAATACCTATTATGGGTATAAGGATAGAAATAGAAATAAATAATTCTCTGGGCCCAGAATCAAAAAAAGAAGAGTTTGATGTATTAAAAAACTTGTATCCATAGAACATTTGCCGTAAGATAGATAATAAATAAATAGGAGTTAATATCATTCCAATTGCTGTTACAAAAGTAATTAGTATTTTCATCATGAAAAGATATTTTTGACTAGTAATTATTCCAAAAAAAACTATCAATTCTGCAACAAAACCGCTCATGCCAGGCAATGCAAGAGAAGCCATTGATAAGATAGTGAAAATAGTGAATATTTTTGGCATTGGGATAGCCATTCCGCCCATTTCGTCAAGATAAAGAAGACGCAGTCTATCATAACTAGTTCCTGCCAAGAAAAAAAGGGCAGCGCCAATAAATCCATGAGATATTATTTGTAAAATGGCCCCGTTGAGACCAGTATCACTTATAGAACCAATTCCTATAATTATAAAACCCATATGAGATACGGAAGAATAAGCGATTCTTTTTTTTAGATTCCGTTGACCAAAAGATGTTGCAGTGGCATAGATTATTTGAATACAACCTAATATCATTAACCAGGGGCAAAATATGGAATGAGCGTGGGAAAAAAATTCCATATTAATTCGAACCAACCCATATGCTCCCATTTTTAATAAGATTCCGGCTAAAAGCATACAAGTGCTGTAATGCGCCTCTCCGTGGGTATCTGGTAACCATGTATGTAAGGGTATAATCGGCGATTTGACAGCAAAAGCAATAAGAAATGCCGTATAGAATATTATTTCTAGTGCCACGGGATATGATTGATTAATTAATGTTTCAAAATTAAATGTTGGTTCATTAGAGCCATATAAACCAATACCCAGAATTCCCATTAATAAAAAAACAGAAGCTCCTGCAGTGTACAAAATAAACTTTGTAGCTGAATACAAACGTTTCTTTCCCCCCCACATGGATAAAAGTAGATAAACGGGAATTAATTCCAATTCCCACATGATGAAAAAAAGTAAAATGTCTCGAGAAGAAAATGGTCCTATTTGACCGCTATACATTGCTAACATCAGGAAATAAAATAATTGGTATTTTCGAGTAACCGGCTGAGCTGCTAAAGTGGCTAAAGTAGTTATCAATCCTGTCAGTAAAATAGGTCCTATAGAGAGTCCATCTATTCCTAATCTCCAGTAAAAATCAAAAAAATGGATCCATTTATAATTCTCCGTCAGTTGAATTAGTGGATCATCCAATTGGAAATGATAACAAAATGCATAGGTTGTTAGAAGGAGATCGATTAAGCATATACAAATGCTATACCACCTAATTACCTTATTTCCCCTATGAGGAAATAAGAAAATTAAGGAACCTGCGGCTATTGGGAAAACAACAACTATTGTTAACCAAGGAAAAAAATTCGTGATAAAAATAAGATACACTTGGACCAGAAAAGCCCATGCTCAAAATAAAATAGAATTTTTTTCTTTTTTATTTTGAACACGAGTTTTTGCCAGTAAAAAACGTATTCGTGTGGTGTTTTTTGAAACGAATCAATAAGCGAGACCCATACTTCGAGTTGTTTCATGCCATAAATAAACTCGAACACTTAAGAAATCCGTCGGACAAGCGGACTCACACCTCTTACAACCAACACAGTCCTCTGTTCTTGGGGCAGAAGCTATTTGCTTAGCTTTACATCCACCCCAAGGTATCATTTCTAATACATCTGTGGGACAGGCTCGGACACATTGAGTACATCCTATACATGTATCATAAATCTTTACTGAATGTGACATTATCTATAGTAATTTTGGATGTTCAAAAATGCAAATTATCGATCTAGTAAACTCGTAAATGAATCGTATATTTATATACCAGATGAATCAATGATTTGTGATAATATTGTTAACTGTTAATAAAAAAAGGCGTCTAGATAAATTTACAAGAGGGAATCGAAGAGGACCAGGATACTTTCATTTCTTATGATTTAGGCAATGTAAACATGATATGATCATAAGTTGTGTCGAATAAATACTCAAATGAATTGATTAGATTCATATTACACTATTTGAAATTCTACTTTATTATTATAGGATTAATGCTATTTATTCAACAAATTCGATTGATTGATACGGGTTGATTTTCTGTTACGAGCAATTGAGGAAACAATAGCCAGTCCGATAGCCGCTTCAGCGGCTGCAATAGCTATAACAAAAATTGAAAAAATATTTCCTTTTAATTGGCGATTATCAAAAAAATCAGAAAAAGTTACTAGATTTATATTAACTGCATTCAGTATAAGTTCAAGACACATAAAGGCTCTAACCATATTTCGGCTCGTGATCAATCCATAGATACCAATAGAAAATAAATAGGCACTCAAAACAAGTACATGTTCGAGCATCATTGACCAACTCCTTATAAATTTGGATTCATTAACAAAAGAATATATCGGCAAAAGAATATGTAGGGGTAAAATATGTTATGGGATAAAATATTAACTTTTAAAATATTAAAAACTAATTAAATCATAAACATTTCCTTCCGAGTAATTGTGGTGTCTCAAAATTCTCAGGCATATTTAGAATCACAAAGTCGACTGAAAATGATAGAACATCTACTCTTACCGAGACATTTTCAAGAATTCCGTATGGGCATGTGATTGATCTATCCGCCAGTGTTAGAATCATTGAGTAGGTTTCTACTCACCATATTTTAACTTCCTCATCATGGACAATGACATCATATTGATGCTAGCTCCTAAATCACACAGAGAAATGCTAATATTTAGCGAACCAATAACATAAGGAATAGTGAATTTACCTAATTAGTGATTTTGGGTGGAAGCTTCCTTTGAATGATTTTACTACACTCTTCTGTTAAAGCATGTTTTCATCACTCTTCTGCTAAATATTTATGATTTAATTAGTTTTTAATATTTTAAATGTTAATATTTTACCCCATAAAATATTTTACCTCTACAAATTTTAAAAGTTAATATTTTATGGTGAAAATTTTTAAAAGTATATTTTACCCCATAAAATATATTTTTAAAAGTTAATATTTTACCCCATAAAATATTGTTTAAATAATTATAAATGTTATATATTATAATTTTTTGGTGAAATTTTTTGATAGAAGAAATGATAGGATTATAATTTAAATATGATATTTATTTTTATTTTTCATATAAACATATTATTAAATTGTTAATTTTCTTCTTTAAAGAACACAATCAATATATAAATCAGTTAACAATTTTTATTTTTATTGATTAAAAAAACAATACCAAATTAGTGGAGTAATTATTATTAAGTAAATAAATATAGTAAATTAATAAAAAATCAAATTAGTGTAAAAATTATTATTAAATAAATAAATAGAGTAAATAGAATAAATATATTAATTAACTAAAATAGAGTAAATAGAATAAATATATTTGTAATTTGAATATTAAAAAAAATTAAAAATTAAAAAAAAAAAAACATGAACCGGAAGACTTCCAAAAAGTCTTCCGGTAAACAAACCAAAAAAATGTGAACCGGAAGACTTCCAAAAAGTCTTCCGGTAAACAAACCAAAAAAAATGTAAACCGGAAGACTTCCAAAAAGTGTTCCGGTAAACAAACCAAAAAATTATAACTTTTTATACGAGGATATTATGGTCCAAAAATTTTTTGTGTAGGGGTATGGGTATAATTGTAGGGGTATGGGGTAAAATTTCCTGTGGACGAGAATGAGAAAGTCAGAGCAGTCGTAGTTCGGCCTACCACGGGATGGTTGCGTGTCTTTAATGAATGATGCTAAGTTCACGTTCCAGCAGTTAGGGTCGAAGCATGTTTGTGGTAGAACGGAAGTAGCATGCCCTTTTTGAAAAAAAAGTTTGGGAGGAAATCCCTTTGTTAAAAAATATTTTAGAATCTAAAGAAAATATAATATTTGGCCCATGCAGGTCTACCACGGGATGGTTGCGTGTCTTTAATGAATGATGCTAAGTTCACGTTCCAGCAGTTAGGGTCGAAGCATGTTTGTGGTAGAACGGAAGTAGCATGCCCTTTTTGAAAAAAAAGTTTGGGAGGAAATCCCTTTGTTAAAAAATATTTTAGAATCTAAAGAATATTTGGCCCATGCAGGTCTCGAACCTGCGACCTTCGCGTTATTAGCACGACGCTCTAACCAACTGAGCTAATGGGCCATATGTTTATATTGTCTAAAATATTAATTTAATAGTTGCTCTTAAGAGAAAAACAATTTCTTAATATTGATACAAGTATATTGATGTATTACCGTCATCGTCTTATTCTACAATATTGTCGCAACGCGAATAATAACCGGCGGAAAAACAGAGTCGCCACCGAACATTATTTATCCCAACGGGGGAAAGGAAACAGTCGAAGAAACCTCAAAAGGGAGAAGACATGGTCTCGCAACCAAATCCTGGATTTGAGAGTCGATTACGCGAGAGGAAGGTATTAGCACCCCCTCGCGTTCGTTGAACTCAACGGGATCCACGCTTGTTATCTAATCAAAGGGTGTATTTATCTAAAGCTCTACTTGCTAACAGAAACTACAGGGAAAAAAACCAAAGGAGATTCGATAGGACTTCGATGTCCTAGGCCTACGTATTCGCTCGTGCAATAGAAAAGTCGGAGTCAACGTAGTTCGGGGGACTACGGATGAATGAGGGGATTGTGCTCGCCAAGACTTCGCCGTCTTGTGCCTACGTGAAATGAAGGTCTGGACAACTTCAATGAACCTCCACGGATTGGACTACTCTGGATTTTTCCTCGCGGACGAGGAAATTTTACCCCATACCCCTACAATTATACCCATACCCCTACACTAAAATTTTTTGGACCAAAATACCCTCGTATAAAAAGTTATAATTTTTTGGTTTGTTTACCGGAAGACTTTTTGGAAGTCTTCCGGTTCACATTTTTTTTTGGTTTGTTTACCGGAAGACTTTTTGGAAGTCTTCCGATTCATGTTTATTTTTTTTTTATAATTTTTTTTTAATTTTTGATTTTTTTTAATATTCAAATTACAAATATATTTATTCTATTTACTGTATTTTAGTTAATTAATATATTTATTTTATTTACTATATTTATTCTATTTATTTATTTAATAATAATTATTTCACTAATTTGATTTTTTATTAATTTATTATATTTATTTACTTAATAATAATTTCTCCACTAATTTAGTATTGTTTTTTTTAATCAATAAAAATAAAAGTTGTTAACTAATTTATATATTGATTGTGTTCTTTAAAGAAGAAAATTAACAATTTAATAATATGTTTATATGAAAAATAAAAATAAATATCATATTTAAATTATAATCCTATCATTTCTTCTATCAAAAATTTTCACCAAAACATTATAATATATATCATTTATAATTATTTAAACAATATTTTATGGGGTAAAATATTAACTTTTAAAAATATATTTTATGGGGTAAAATATACTTTTAAAAATTTTCACCATAAAATATTAACTTTTAAAATTTGTAGGGGTAAAATATGTTATGGGATAAAATATTAACTTTTAAAATATTAAAAACTAATTAAATCATAAACATTTCCTTCCGAGTAATTGTGGTGTCTCAAAATTCTCAGGCATATTTAGAATCACAAAGTCGACTGAAAATGATAGAACATCTACTCTTACCGAGACATTTTCAAGAATTCCGTATGGGCATGTGATTGATCTATCCGCCAGTGTTAGAATCATTGAGTAGGTTTCTACTCACCATATTTTAACTTCCTCATCATGGACAATGACATCATATTGATGCTAGCTCCTAAATCACACAGAGAAATGCTAATATTTAGCGAACCAATAACATAAGGAATAGTGAATTTACCTAATTAGTGATTTTGGGTGGAAGCTTCCTTTGAATGATTTTACTACACTCTTCTGTTAAAGCATGTTTTCATCACTCTTCTGCTAAATATTTATGATTTAATTACTTTTTAATATTTTAAATGTTAATATTTTACCCCATAAAATATTTTACCCCTACAAATTTTAAAAGTTAATATTTTATGGTGAAAATTTTTAAAA